GACTTCATCAGTCCGAGGAGCCGCAACAAACTCAGTCCCACAAGCAGCAAAGCGACGTAGTTGACCAACCAGTTTGCTGGTGATAAGATGGTTTCTGGGGCCCACCCTCTCCCCCATCGACCCATCAGAGGAGTCAGCAAGGGAGAGAGTGGGCTCCAGAAACCATCTTATCACCAGCAAACTGGTTGGTCAACTATGTCGCTTTGCTGCTCGTGGGACTGAGTTTGTTGCGGCTCCTTGGACTGATGAAGTCCTTTGGATGAAAGCAGAAACGTCTCAACGCTAAAAAAGACATAGCAATAGTAGTTTCTAGTAAAATTGATTTCTGAGTGAATAGTATTCAGTGATTTTTCCGAGTCAGTTAGATTTTTAATTAGATCATCATGATGACTTTTCAGACTCTGAGGTAAATGACGCAATGAAAGTTTGTCACAGAACGGGGAGCTATGACCAGTCCCTGCCTGGAAAGAGCATTCAGACAAACGTTTCTCATCTGGGGTACTTCTGGGCCTACATTAGGCTGGGCATAGTCTGTGTAAGTACATATGGCAGAAAAAGACAAGCGAAGAAGCTCGAAGATGACGTCTAAGTGGAAATATGTGTGAATCTGGTGCTTAATGACAACAAAAAAAAAAGAGATTTAATAAGACAAGTGTTAAGGATAAATATTAGGGATCATGCAGGCTCACAAATTTTGCTCATAAACACGTAATTCAAGGACAGATTTACCATAGATAAAAGGAAAAAACATTAGATTTTATTTATAACTTTATGAATTTAACAGATTCATGACTTTGCGATGAATACCATCATAAATTAAATTAAATTGCAGAATACAGTCTACTATGTACAAACTGGTACTATAGTTAAGCACCCCCAGACTTAAGCTGCATTTTAGTCAACTTTATCACTATTTTCATCAACCAGCACCTGATAAAACCTAATTAATAATTTAGTAAAGTTAATACACTAAATTTAGGAAGGTCTTCTAACTGATTCAGGAAGTTCCATTCAGGTGTAAGATACTGTAAAATTAGGTATTGATCCAAAACCAAACTCCACAATAAAGACAAACTATGCAGTTTTACATACAGTGTGTTGTTTTATCCTCAATATGCCAAATCCAATTATATTTTCATTTACATTAAAGTACCGGTACATGTTTTTGCTTTCCACTATTAGTAAGCTGATTATTTACATTTTAAAACCAAAAACTAACTTCAAGCAAAGTAGTGGCTCCTTGGGCTGAAGAAGTCCTTTGGATGAAGGACAAAACGTCTCAGAAAAAAAAAAGAAACCACTCAGATGACCTGACTGAACGTTGTTGGATTTATACCTGGATTATTGAGCATGAACTTTGGTGTTTTGAACCATTTTGGCATGTCTGCCTTAGAGGAGTTGATGAGGGAGATGGTGGGCCCCAGAAACCATCTTATCACCAGCAAACTGTTTTTTTCTACTATGGGAGTTGGTGCTTGAGGGACTCCAGCTAGTTTGTGGCTCCTTGG